ACAGAGAGAGACATAGAGACAGAATGCAAGAAATCACCCCCCCAGGGTGATTCTCCTCCATTCTCCTCTCAGGATCTTGGGCACGCATGCACATGCGCCCGTGTGAGTTTTAAGCCACCGGATCCGGGATGCGAACTGTAGTCGACTACGTGGGAGTCCAGCAACACAGCCATTACGCTAACTGCTGGTTCCCTTTAGTGGGTATTTTCACTGACCCCTGATAACCTGACTTAAGCCATTGTCAACATAGTTCTGGGCTAGTTATTCACTATTTTTTTTAATACAGGAATTATGTTAAAATGCTTTTCTGCTAGATATAGATATATTACACGAACATTTATTTCTTAAGAATTATTTATTATTATTTTTTAAACTAGCTATAATCATCAGAGAAAGAGAGGGAAAATGAGAAAGTAAGCTGTCGGGTCTGGGACCTGAACCGTGGTTGGTCATGTGGGAGTCCAGTGTCCCAGCCACCTGCTGGCCCTATTTATTTATTGTTTAATGAAAGAGCATGCGAAAATAAGTGCATGTATAGGAGGGAGAGAGAGTGATAAGTTTTTTGTTTTGTTTTAAGGTTTTTGCCCTTGGGTGCATGTGAGAAATCATCCCCCCGGGGGAGGGGGCAATCATTTGTTCTGTTCTCCTCTCAGGATTTTAGGCATACACACACATGCACCTGGTGTGATTTTCAAGTCGCTGGATCTGGAACTTGAACTATTCGGCCGCGGGGGAATCCAGCCTTCCCTACCACAGTTCTTGCTGCCCTGGGATAAGTATTGTTGACAAGGTCTTACCACTGGCACCAGCCCTGAGCTAGGACCACGTGTGTATGCCAGAGCTAGGACCACGTGTGTATGCCCTGACCTGCTTAGGTTGGGCCAGGGCTGAACCCAATTGTCCCCTGCAGTCTCAGCTCTTTCGTAGTGTCACCCTTCCATTTGTGCCGCTGTGGCTGGGCCCAGAATATGCGATTGGTTTAAACTGGGGTGGATCACAGTGTCAAGACCCTGTTAAGGCTACTGTCTGTCTCTCTCCCTCTATCACTCTCTGTCTCTCTAGCTCAACATACATTAAAAAAATTAAAACTAAGGGATTTTTTTAAGATCACCGATAGTGATATCATTTATTGAATACTTTGATATTACCCCAAATATATACTTCTTTGTTTGTGCTCCATAACCTCAGATTACTTACATACTCACATACAGCGTGTGCTCACATACTCACAAAGCGTACTCACAAACAGGGTGCACTCACACACTCACAGTGCGTACTTACATACTCACAGCTCACACTCACACACTCACAGTGCCATGGCCAACCACATGGTTTGAATTCTAGCCCAGACAAATTGAGAAGCCCTTTAGGTGCATTGCTTGTATGCCCCGAATCCCAACAAGATGGAGAAATGGAAGAAAAGAGGTTGCAATGTGGACCATATCCCCCCACAACACCCAGGAGGTTGGGGAGGCGCTTTCTCCCTCCCCTTTTTATCTCTGATGAGCACACATGCCCTCTGGCAAAACACATATATGTAGTCCCCCCCCCCCAAGAAAGTGTGAGACAGACAGACAGACACATACACACACCCCCCACACTCACACCCCAACAGGGTCCTTATACAGCTGTCTGCTTCTGGTGTCAACTGGCCTACGTGGGAACCCAGAGGGGTCCCGTTGTGTTACAGCTGCACCGCTGCCTGGCCCCATCTTCTGATTTATGTAAACTGTCCGAGATGGTAAATAAACAACAAAAAGACATACAAATATAATGTAATTTACCCGTTATGTTCTATGTACTTAGTAATGTCTAGTTATATGCTGATGAAGTCGTCTCCACCCTGAGCTCTGTGTCTGATTTTGGTGAAATTCAAGCTAAGCATAAAAAAACCATGCACACAAAATCTGTTTATCTAAACTGTTTTCAGAAAACGATTGTGCTTATATGCCGGGAGTTACCGAGGGAAAACAAAGATAAAAATGGTTTTGTCTGCCAGTCCTCTGCCCTCAGTTATGTGTCCCAAGGCTTCACACATTTCTGTTTGGTAGCAGGATTGTCTCTGGTGCTTTTTATAAAAGTATCGATAGGGGATTGTTGGTCTCCAAGACGGGCAAGCACTCAGGTGTACAAATACCGTCTTCTCAGAACACAGCTGCAGATGAGCAACTGCTCTACACACGTGAGCCTCCAAATAGAAAAGTCTGGACTGCTCAAGGGACTTGTGGACATGTCCCCAACAGCCTGCAACAAGGCCAGCTTTATTTCCCAGTTAGAAAAAGTGCTGGCAAGATCTGCTTAGCCATAAAAAGAAACAAACTCTTGATATATGCGACAAGAAGGATGAGTCTTAAAAGAATTATGCTGAGTGAAAGAAGCCAGACAAAAAAAGATACGTTCTGGATGATTCTATTTGTATAAAATTCTAGGAAATGCAAACTCATGTGTTGGGAAGAAGACATCAGTGGTCGTCTAGCGTTCTGGAGGTTCAGGAGAAGAGGTTGGGAACATGGGCTGGTGGTAGCATCCCAAAGGGGCAGGAAAAAACCTTTAAGGGGGATAAATATGCTCATTATTTCGATTGTAATGACAGTTTTATGGATGTGTACATATGACAACATTTACATGTCGTACACTTTGTATGCATGCCACTTAGTATTTATCTATTATACCACACATATAAAAATTTTCCCACCTGATGTTTGATTCTTGAAACATTTTTTATTTTTTTTTTACAGACAGGGACTTAAATTTTAATTGTCAAGAACAGGGGTTCTTGGGGACCAGCAGTTAGCGTAATGGCTATGTCGCTGGACTCCCACGTAGTCGACCGTGGTTCGCATCCCGGACCCAGTGGCTTAAAACTCACACCGGGCACGTGTGTGTGTGTGTGCCCAAGATCCCGAGAGGAGAATGGAGGAGAAGGGATTGCTGCATGGCCATCCCCCCTGGGGGGTGATTTCTTGCTTTCTGTCTCTCTGTCTCTCTCTGTCTGTCTGGCGAACACACGCGCCCTATAGCAAAAAACTCTCCAAAAAAAGAAAAAACAAACAAACAAAAGAACAGGGGTTCTTGAGACTAGCAGTTGGCGTAATGGCTATGTCACTGGACTCCCATGTAGTCGACTGTGGTTCGAGTCCTGGACCTGGTGGCTTAAACTCACCCCGGGCACGTGTGCATGTGTGCCCAAGAGCCCGAGAGGAGAATGGAGGAGAACGGATTGTGGTGTGGCTATCCTTCCGGGGTGTGTGGGGAGTGATTTCTCGCTTTCTATCTCTCTGTCTCTTTCTGACGTGCGCACACCTCCTATAGCAAAAACTTCTCCCTACGCCAAAAAGAAAGAAAGAAAAAGAACAGGGGTTCTGGCGTTGGACAGACCTAGTTTCAGCCCAGTCATCTGCTTGTTGTATGACCTTGAGGCGAGACACCTGGCACCATAGGTTTTTGCCTTTCTGTAAAATGGGATGGTAGAGGCATTGTAAGTGCTCACTGGATAGAATTGTGTTGCCTTTTTTTTTTTTTATGTCACATTTTTATTTATGCAAGATTTAAAAGACAGATTGTCTTTGGCGAGAAAAATATAGCATTTAAATTCACAGGGGGGCATGTTACTATGGAGAATTGGATCCTTTAGTAAGGATGCAGTGGTGTCTACAAGAAGAGAAAGATCAAAAATTGAAGAGAAACGCAAGGAGAGAGACGCAGATTTGCTAAAGGCTCCCCTTTTTCTGCGTTCTTCACAGTGGGCCTTACGCTCCTAGGCGACCTACTTACCTTCTTTCTCTGGTTTTAGTGGCCTCTGCTTTTTGCAGGCTTTACTTTTGTTTTTTAAGAATTATCTATTTAGAGGACCTGCAGATGGCATAATGGAGTTGCTGGACTCCCAGGTAGTCGACTGCAGTTCTATTCCCAGACCTGGCAGCTTAAAACACATCTTTGGGGTGTGTGTGTGTGTGTGTGTGTGTGAAAAAAAAAAATCCCAAGGGGAGAATGGAGGAGAAGGGATTGCAGCATGGCCATTCCCCCTGGGGGGTGATTTCTTACTTTCTGTCTCTCAGGTGAGTGCACGTGCCTATAGCAAAAATCTCTCTCTCTCTAAAAAAAAGAATTAATTTTATCTTTTTATTTATTATTATTATTTTTAAAAATTCACTGCAGAGCATGTGGGCTCACCAAAGAGAGATAGAGAGAGAGAGGAAAAAAGTGAGAAAGCTAGCTGCCAGGTCCGGGTCTCAAACAGCCGTCAGCCACGTGGGAGTCCAGCGCCTTAACCACCACACCAACTTCTGACCCCAGGCTCTATTTGTTTTGAATTCATTAGTCTTTTCCTTGGTTAGGTAACATCATTGCTCAAAAGTGCCATATTTATATTTATTGAGAAATTTATTCTGGGATTTAGCACATACCCTTTTTGTTTATTTAGATGTAGGTATAGTATTATTTATGTAAAGGAAGAATGTTTGGGTTTTCAAATGTCTTACTTAAATTAGCTGATAATTTTATTGAACTTTTTATTAGCTATTATAAACTAATTTTAAAAATCATATATATGTAATGTAAGTAAAAGTTGATCGGTTATCCTAAATGGGTCATATTGTTGATATGCATGTTTGAAGAACAAAATAATAAAGATGTATTATTTCAAATTCTGAAGCGATGTCATTTTCACTTATAGAAACTTACAGAATTACCTTCTCTCCCATGCTCTTGGCCTAATTTTTTTTCTTGCCAGGTAGTTGCAGGGGTTTGACAGGTGATTGATTTGGTTTTGGAAGGTCCTGGAACTACATAAAGTGGTTTGCATATTGGTAAAGACATGCCCAGTTTTTCACAAGTTTTAAGATTTATTACTTCACCCTAATGTGTTGCAAATTAGTTTGTTTACTATTTATTTTACTCAGGTGTTAGTAATTGGTGTCATTAGCCAAAGGGCAAATTGGATTACAGGAAAGGGTGACTTCTAACACCCACCATTTGTTTTTTCTTTGGTGTCTCTGCAGGCCTGGAGATAAGATGGGTGGACTGCTATTTTCCTTTTACTCACCCTTCCTTTGAGATGGAGATCAACTTCCATGGAGACTGGCTTGAAGTCCTTGGTTGTGGGGTGATGGAACAACAACTGGTCAATTCAGGTAGAAAAGACCTCCATATTTTTTTTAATTAATTATTTTATTTTATTTATTCATTCATTTATTTTTTAATTTGACCAGAGAGAGACAGAGGGTGAGAGTGAGAGAGAGAAGAAGTGAGAAAGCAAGCCACCAGATTCAGGACTTGAACCCTGGTCGGCCATGTGGGAGTGTCCAGCACCTTAACTACCATGCCACCTGCTGGTCCCAAGACCCCCATATTTTATTTACAGGTTTTCTATCGGAACACTCCATTCTATAGCCTCATTTGCATACTGGTAGTTGCATACTCCTATAATGGCAGCCTCTCTGTTGTTTTTCCTGGACATCGTCCTCTAGACGATGAAACCAAACTCTGAAAGAACTAATTTTTCGCATTTCATTTTGAAAAGTCTTCTTGTCTCTGGAGATCTTCCTTGTCAGGATGCGCCCATTGGACTAGACTCCAGATTTTGGATCTGTTGATGGGTTGCTTTGCAGTTGCCCCAAAGATCTTCGATGCATGTCCGCGAGTGCAGCGTGTCTTCCAAACTTTTGAAGAACAAAGCCAATCCATGGTCTGGTTTTGTTCTTATGGTATTTATTATAATACCTCAAATTTAGCAGATATCTCTTAATTACACCAAGACACAACAGGAAAGCAAACTGAGAATGGTTAGCCACTTACCACTCTCAAGCATAGGCAGGAGGAAACCTGATTGAGGTAAAGTAGGAAAACAGGGTTGCTGATTATGTTGACCCATATCTGTAGATACTTGAGAGAAGTCTTCCCACTTCTTTTCTGCAGGACCATTGATTAATAAAAAGAATAATTACTTCTAAACATAACTAAAACTCTGTGAGTTTTTTTTTTTAAACACTATCTGAATCTAATTAAAAATATATTTTTTTGAGTGTAAATCCTCTAGAGAAAGGAGTCAGGATTAAGCATTTGAACTCACTGTGCAAGCAGAAAGCACTAAGGGAAGAGGAACCGGTAGGGATTATCCCAAGGATTCTAACATCCTACTGCCATAGAGGGACATTTGGTGTGTAGCCTTGGAGGGGAGCTATGGCTCAGAGTTGGTCACAGAGCCTCCTGTGGCAGAGTGGAGAAGAGACCTTTTCCCTGGTGACTAAGAAATTGGACAGACTGTAGGTAAGGACTTGGCCCTGGTCATGGGACCGGAATGAGAATGGGGTGAGACTGAAGAAGACCCAGGATGGAATGAAGTAGAAGAGCTTGTGTTACCGGAGCTGGGAGGCTGGTAGCCTGGGCCTCCATCCACAGGGGTCTAGGCTCAATAAGCTCGCAGATTTCTCTCCATTCTGCTAAAGGCAGCTAGGGAGAAAGGCCAGTGCAGTGCCAAATGTTTCATGGACAGTTTGCCAATATTTGAAGGGCTGTTCTGTACAAGAAGGAGCACACATGTCAAAATTAGGGCTTGTGAGTTAGAGTTATGAATCTGGGCTTGGTTGCTCCAAACCCTAGAGTTTTTGTCACATTTCTGTCCACAGACTGATGTGTGTCTTTATGTATTGCTTAACCCCTGTGGAGTTCGTTTTCCCTTAGCTAAGATGGGTACCATGAAACTATTCAAAGTTTTATTGTGAAGATTATTTAATAGCATATATTTAAAGTACTTAGCCAAGGGACTGACACATAGTAGACATTCCATAAAAATTAATTGCTGATGTTATTTTATTTTTTTGGAGAGATTTTTGCTGTATGGAACATGTGCTCACCAGGGAGACATAAAGTGAGAAATCACCCCTCCTGAGGAGGGGGTGGCCGTGCCACAGCCTCTTCTCCTCCATTCAGAAAAGAAACATAGGCTAAGAAGAATCAAGAAGATAAAGAAAATCAGGCTATTATGTCTACACTGTATGTATTTCCATAGATGCTGCAGAATATTGGGAGCAAATGGGCAAGAGTTAATCTCTCCTTGAGAGACTTCAAATGCTTCTGTGGTGTTTTTTGTTCTTTTTTTTTTGTTCTTTTTTTTTTTTTTTTTTGACAAAAGGTTTAAAAGAATCCTAGGCTTCCTTCCAGGAGTGCCTGGTGTCTGGGAGCCAGAGCTAAGAAAGCAAATCAGAGGACGATCAATTTACATATCAGTTGTCACTTGGAATTGGGCTCCCTTGTATTTTTTCCAGTATGCTCAATGGGTTTTTATGAGGTTTATCCACATAGTAATTGACTGAATATCGTTATCCGAAATAGATTTTCAAGTCATTATTGTGCATTAATGAGACTGCTGTTCTACAATTAGACCAACATGTCAGATACTCTTGAAGGGAATGGCAAAGTGGAAAAATAAAGATGTTAGACAGAAAATAAAAGACACCGGGGATGCACATAGGTTTTTGAATGATTCATAATCATGATACGTGTTTTGAGTTGTTGGGAAGTGGTTCACGGAAAATTTAAGTATCTTGAGAGAGAAAGAGAGAGACCAAAGAAATGCAAGAAGAGACAATTTTGTCCAGACTCCTGAGTAGATTTTGCTATTTGAACTGCAAGTTGTTAGGACAGAGTTCTGCTTTGTATTATTAGACTTGAATGTGTTTTGACATCTGTAGTTAAAATTTCTCAACTGCGTGCCTGGTAGTCACTAACCACAGTCATTATTTCCAAGTACAGCTAGTCTTCCGGTTTCTGAGTTCTAGTAGCTATGTGTACTTCATCTGTTAAGTGTTAAATGTTAGTCTAGGTATGTGTTGCCATTTTTTCTTTTATCCCACATTTTCTTCCCATTCTTTCCTGCCCTTCTCCTTTCCCATCTTCATTGCTCTCTTTTTAAAGTGAACTTCTGGGAACCAGCAGTTGGCATAATGGCTAGGTTGCTGGACTCCCATGTAGTTGACAGCGGTTTGAGTCCTGGGCCCAGTGTCTTAAACTCACGCAGGGCGTGTGTGTGTGTGTGTGCCCAAGATCCCAAGAGGAGAATGAAGAGAAGGGATTGTGGCATGGCCATCCACCCTGGGGGGTGATTTCTCGCTTGCTGTCTCTCTGTCTCTTTCTGGTGAGTGCACGTGCCCTATAGTAAAAACCTCTCCAAAAAAAAAAATAATAATAATAACGTGAACTTTTGAGAAACAATATAATTGATGGCTGTATATTCTTTTTTTCAAAGGCCTTCCTTTATAAAGGGTCAGATAAGTGCTGAGATAACCAGAAACCAAAGAAGCTGACAGCAGGCTTTACATGGCTGTTCCATTTAACCCAGACAACAACACTCTGAAGCAGATGCTGTAACTACCACCATTTACAGAGCCAGATCGAAAGGAAGCCAGTGTTAGTGAAACTTCCCAAGTCTTTCTGACAATTGTTAACTAATGTGCTATGCCACCTGAATAGTAAATTGCATGATTTTGAAGTGTCTAAAAATTCATTTCACATAAGTCGTTCTGCCTAACGTCAAGTGAAGAATAGAAGCAAAATGGGGACCAGCAGTTAGCGTAATGGCTGTGTCGCTGAACTCCCACGTAGTCGACTGCGGTTCGCGTCCCGGACCTGGTGGCTTAAACTCATGCCGGGCGCGTGTGCGTGCGTGCTCAAGATCCCAAGAGGAGAATGGAGGAGAAGGGATTGCGGCGTGGCCATCTCCCCTGGGGGGTGATTTCTCGCTTTCTATCTCTCTGTCTCTCTTTCTCTCTGTCTGGCGAGCGCACGCGCCCTATAGCAAAAACCTCTTAAAAAAAAAAGAATAGAAGCAAAACGAAATGAACAGCACTTTACTGGTTCTGTAGTTAGTTATCACTAAAGAAGGGACATGCCATCATGTCTGTTATCCCCTAGGATAGACTGCATTTAATTAAACATGAAATTGGGTTGCGGATTTGAATAGTCAGTGAAGCATTTTATTATACATTCGACTGTGGCATAGCTGAGAAGACTTCCAGAAGTTCATGGAAAATGTGTATTATGAAAAAATCATGCACAGATTTCAATTTTTTTTTTGCATCAAAATAAACTCATACTTTAATTCCATTTTTTTCATGTACCTTTTACAGTTCCCTCGTGTGTGTTTTCATGCATGGGAATGAGGCTCTGATAGCATTTTATAAGACTTTATTTCTTCTTCCCTAAATTGCAGGATCTTCACCGTTGCTTTCAGATTCTCTAGATCTAGGAATTATAGTAGAGGTGGCTGTTTCATGGTGATTTGATTAGTTTTTTTCCCTTGGAGAGGTGTTCTGAGGACAGTGCGGAGTCACGTCCCACACACTGCACGTTCATTTCCCGCAGGGCTGACTCAGGCTGCTCGTGTATTTTCATACAGTACATGGAGCACGAACATCCAGAACCATCACCAGGGTGACGACGGGCCGCGATCGTGCCAGGAAGGAACTTACCGCTTAGGGAGTCTCTGTGCAGTTTAGAAGATTGTACGTAGGTCGAGGGAGAAGAAACTCTACAGTGGAAAACAATTTCTTAGCAAAATCTCCTTCCTTGCCTCTCTGTTAAAATCTAAAAATTGATCCTTTTGGGAAGACCTTGTAAATATTTATAAAAACAATTCATAGTTTTAAACAGTCATTGTTTGTTCATTTGTTCATCAAGTATTTTTTTTTTTCTTTTTGAGAGGTTTTTGCTACAGGGCGCCTGTGCTTGCCAGAAAGACAGAGAGAAACCGAGAGACACAGAGAGAGAACTTACCCCCCCAGGGGGGATGGCCACACTGCAATCCCTTCTCCTCCATTCTCCTCTCGGGATCTTGGGCATGCACGCACACACACCCAGTATGAGTTTAAGCTACTGGGTCCGGGACTTGAACTGCGGTTGACTATATGGGAGTCCAGCGACATAGCCATTATGCTAACTGCTGGTCCCTGTCAAGTATTTCTTTTCTTTTTTTTTTTTTGGAGAGGTTTTTGCTATAGGGCGCGTGCGCTCGCCAGACAGACAGAGAGAGACATAGAGACAGAAAGCGAGAAATCACCCCCCAGGGTGGATGGTCACGCCGCAATCCCTTCTCCTCCATTCTCCTCTCGGGATCTTGGGCACGCACGCACACGTG